GAAGCACTAAAAGTCGTGTTGAAAAAGCCGCAGTGGCAGTACTTGGACACCCCTATCGGCCGCCTAGCCCGCACCCTGACCATGTACTCGACGGCCAGCAGTGCATCGACCGCGAAGCAAGCCGCACGGTAGGACCGAGCGGCGTGCGATCGAATGTGACTGAGTGATTTGTGCAACTGTAGCCCCAACAATGCGCCACCCGCGGTCATGGTGGCTCCAGCGGCAGCCCCAGCAGCGGTGGCGTTGTCACCGGCCCAGCATGTCGAAGAGGCGGATGTGCTCGTTGCAACCGCCGGAGTGCCGGCCGAGCCTGCATATGCCCACGAGCCAGCAGCTTCCGAGTTTGACCTGACTTAGGACGCCCATCGGCGGCACGCACGAAATCTACCAATTCCTCCACCTGCACGACATGATCTGAATGCTCTGTCCACGAGTTGTCAGCCGAGGGATGCACATGAATTGGTCAGGGGCATCGTGTTACGTTGCATGAAGGCCGGACGGCAGCCATGGTGACCTGGGCGAGCTGGTCGGCATTGCTAAGAAGGAGTGCACGGTGGCTTGGCGCGCACCATTCGATAGCTACGAAGGTCTGGTAAAGTAAACTGACCCAACGCCTTAACGTGGACAAAAACTCGTCGATTACTTGGTCTGTTCAAGACCGATTCGAGCGGCGTTGTTGCCACGTTTCCGTTGATTCTTCACGAGATCTTTCTTCTGTCGGCAACTCAATTCATAACCCGCTGCTTGGTGGAATGTGCGTAAAACTCACGCAGTGCTCTAATGCATGGCCCTCAATGTCGCCATGCAAGAGTGCACTTGAGCAGGGCGGATTTCCGTTTGTGGTTGTTTGGTAGCCCAACAGAGGGGCAGCAAGGCCTCCTTCGTTCCCAGAGCGAGCCATCAACTAACTCTACGTCCACTAGAAGCGAGATGTATTGGTACAGCGACGGACTAGGAGTGCTTGGGCGCTTCCGCCGCCCAGGAATGCGCGCTGATGTCGTCGGGGCCGTCCCCGAGCGCCAACGGTCACAGGTCGGTCCGAGTTTTCAGGTCATTTGATTGGTTGATATGGACCAATGGCATCGTTTCATTCCAAAATCCGATCCATGCGCAGATCACCCACGAGCCTCCCCACGGCATGCCCGTTGATGTGCTGTTAAAAGTCCAACTTCGACGGCTATGCGTTCCAGTGTCCCCAAGCGCGTGTTGATTACCGGTGCTGGCCGCGGCATCGGAGTGGCCTTCGCCAAGCATTTCCAGAACAAAGGATGGTAGCTGGCGCACGCAAACCGTCGGCCGAGGGTTGACAAGTGTACTATTCGGTGCGAACTTTTCGGCTGATTGTGCGTGTAGCTTCTCGGTTTGGGTGTGAAATCGCTGGTGGAGCTGGACGTTGCGTCGGAAGACTCGATCAAGGAAGCTGCACTGGCGTACCAACCGCCAGTGCACCAATCAACAACGCAGGTGTTTTCCCATGGGATACGCTGCGATCGGCGACAAAGGCCAACTTGATGCGCCAGTTCGAAGTGGACGCTGTTGGGCCGTGGCTCGTATCGTGCGCGCTCTTGCCCAACTTGGGCCTTGCCGCCAAACAGTCGGGCCTGGCCGTCCTTGCTCAGTTGTCGGCACGCCTCGCCAGCCTCCATTGCTCGGGCGAACTCGGGCCAATCCCTGGATTGTATGGCTATCGTACGTCCAAGACAGCGTTGAACAGTCTCACAAGAACGCTAGCACTGGGCATCAAGGCCAAAGGAGTGTCGAGTGTGCTGTTGGACCCTGGCTTCGTCAAGACCGACCTGGCTGGAAACAAGGGTCAGTTCACGCCAAGATGGTCGAAATCCTAGACAACGTTACGGCTGCGGACAACGGCAAGTTGTTCGACATTGACGGTTCCTCCGTTCCGAGGTAACTAAATGTCGATGGTGCGACGGCCGATATCGATGATACAAGTTGTTCAAACAACCCCATCTCCACTTACAAAGTGCCAAAGTCAGGTACAGCCAGGAATCGTCGAGGACGCGTGCGCTGGCAAGCATCAACATCGGGAAATGTCCAAATACCATGCCATGGCCTCGCTTTCTCTGCGAGATCTCCCTTTCCCGTGGAACTCAGTAGCCCATCGAGGCATCACATTCGCCACTGCTTTTGCAAGATCATTTGATTTGTCGCCAAGGATCCTTTTGCTACGAACCTGCGCGACCATGTACAGGCCTTGACCAAGTCTTCCATGAGTTTTCGTCCACGTTTTGACGTGGGGTCAGTTTAC